AATAGATGACTCCCATATTAAAGCTGGGGTACCTAGTTTTTAAAGCACAATAAGTGGATCCATGTATCAAATCCTTTCTCGCTTTTGTAATAGTTTGGTTCTATCAGTAGTTTTCACATGCATGTTTAAGCAGCTTTTTCAGACAGAAAGAGAACTACCCTCATTCAGCCAATCAGCTCTCAGCCCAAAGCGTCCAATAGTGACTCACAGGGCTCTTTCTAGAAAAATATCACGTTTTCTGATAAAATCACGATAAACATAATTATAAAATAAATTGTAAGGTTTTGCTTGAATTTTAAATGAAGCTGGACTTGTACTTAACACAAAAAACAAGGCTAATGACATCCTTTTTCCACCATGGAGCATTCCATTGAGAATTTTTTGGACAGACAAAAATACACCTAGCTGTACAAATAATTGTGTATAAGTATTAAATATACTGTATTCATTTTTAAAACTTTTATTGTGCATTGAATCTCAAAGGAAAAAGATCATACATTGTTCAAAATAAAGTTAGGAGTAGCCTAGACAATTTGGGCAATTGGGAATGGCTAAAACTGTGCCTATATCCTAATTTTGAGATTATTTTCATAATGTAAAAAAAAAAAAAAGAAAAAAAAAAAAGGAAAACCAATTATAAAGTAAATCATAGCCAAAATAGATCAAAAAGGATAATTTTGTCTTGAGTTAAAATGTTTTTTTTTTTGTGTGGTCTTGTCTGTCAAAAGAATCACAAAAAACGAAATATATAACTAAATAGCTTTAAATATGTACTTTCTGAATTTTTTAAAATATTAAACAAGGTCTTTCTTCTAAGTCCTTCCATGCGTATGTCTCCTGTGCTGTTTCTGTCACTCCAAATGCGTCTGGCAGAGAAGGATCTATTGAACGTGTGAAAGGCTACTTAACAGGCAGCCGGGAGTGCGCTAATATTTGTAACACCCTCAGAAGTGTCAGAATTCTCACCTCACTGCTTCTTTTTATGGCAATTTTCCGCTCGCTAATCCCAGTTTCCCGGTCCATGCAATCTTTCAGACCAATGCCACTGACAAGACCAATTTATATGATTTTTGATTTTTGATTCATTGCCTGTTATACATATACATTAAACAGCCGTGCCCACCTGTGGCGTACGTAATACTGTAGCTACTTAAAGCTGGGGTACCTAACTTTATGGTCAACACAATGCTAGTACAGTATGCTAGTTGTGTTTGTCTCAACAGAAAAATTTAGTTATCACTGGGTTGGTTTAAACAAATTGGTCTTCAAATATGCTACCTTTTCAATATTATAGTTGACTTGAAAAAATGAAAACAAAATGCTTCCTTATTTAACACTAAGACCAACCACAGACAAGTTATGATTAATAATTTTGACTTGATAGTTATGGGGCTTTTTACAAATAATTTCCAGATTTTTTTGTTGGACTCGTGACATGCTCTTACACACAGTCCTCAGGCTTTTGTAGTTATATGTTTGAAATGTTTGGGTGGATGGGAAATACATTTATCCATCCACCCAGTTCGATAATATTCATCTACAGCTCAATTTGTATTAGAAGCTTAGAGGAACAGGTTCAAGGCAGTGATTTCTTCCCTTTAACTGAAGCCCTGAGGCTGGGTCTGTTTTTCTGCCGCTGGAATAGTGAGCATTCTTCTGTCTGTATGAGATGGATCAGAGCCAGTTTTCATAAAGGTGTTTTCGTCTGCTCCACGGAATGGGCAGAGAATTGAGCGTCCTGTGGTAACATTCAAAAGGACATGGAATAACGACAGGAATGACTCTTAAAGCATATGCATTAGCGTTATGGAAAGGTTGTTATTATGGCAGCACAGCAGGTACATTACTGTTGACGTCAGCTTCACAAAATGATATGTGTACCTGTGTGCTTCTGTGCAAGTCTATCCATCTGTGTTAGTGCCATATGAACCAACTCGGACTCAGGGACTGGCCTCCTGCTGGGAACTGAGGAGCACAGGGACTGCCTCCTACTGGGATTCTGAGGAGCACAGGGACTGGCCTCCTGCTGGTGCCCAGAGTCAGGACTAAACATGCAGAGCCAGCATTTCAGATTTATGGAGCTAAACTTGAGAACAGTTTTTCTGAAAATGTGAGACAGGCTTCTACTCTGACAATGTTACAATCTAGGTCAAAAACTGCTCTGTTTAGCTGTGTATACAACCGATATATTGTATCTTCAATCTTTTCAATGCATTGTGATTCTTTACGATTGTATTTCCTTGTTTGATTGTTTCTTTGAATTGAACAATTGTGGGAAAGCTGTTTTGAAAATATTAATGTCTATTCATTTGAAACTGAATGAATAATGGATGAATAATGCTGTGGAAAAATAGGTGTCTTTGAGAAGAAAAAATTGAAATTAAATTAAATTAAATTAAATTGAATTTAAAGCTGAGGTACCTGACTTAAAAAAAAAAAACATCGGACTTGGTAATAAAATCCATGTCTTTCCTGATTTGGTTCTTTCACTACTTTTGTTGTGCATGCATTAATGGCTTCTGTCACATCTTTAAAACAGATTTTTCAGACAGGAAAGTTCAAAAGAGAGGACCACCCTCACTCATCAGCCAATCCGCTAACAGCCCAAAGTCCCAAAAAGTAACTCGCAGGGCTCTGTTTGACAAGTATTAAAAAAAAAAAAAACGGTTTTCTTGTTAGATGCATGTAGTGGTCTGAGATGACTCTTTCTCCTGAGACAAACATCATGTATTAATTAATAAAAAAAAAATGACCTGAGCTTTAATTCTTATTTTTATCCTGTAGTAAATATGCGGTTCTCTCTCATAGTCCTGCCTCTCCACATGCGAGCAGCAGGACGCCTGGTCCGCCCCTCTCCCTTCTCTCTAATTTGAGGAATGCCGTCCACTTTTCGACTGCAAGCAATTACAATCTGTAATCTAATTTGGGCCCTTTGATTAAATTTCCATACGCCACTCGGGCAAAATAAACAGACTAAACAAGAGCGCAATTGTCCACTGAGCCGGTCATTCCACAGAGCAGTAGTAGCAGTAGTGATAGTAATTTACAAAGTAGATCTTAGATTTTTTTAGCTTTTGCACAAGCTGTCACCTGTACACTGTGTTTTAACTATTAGTATTGTCACAGTAATACTACAAATACAAGTACTGCTGTAGTTGTAATGTAATTGGTATTGTTTCAAAGTACAAACCTTTTATTGGCAGTGGAAAAAACATATAATACAAGTAGTAGCTGCAACAGCGGTAGTAGCAGCAGTAGCAGCAGTAGCAGCAGTAGCAGCAGCAGCAGTAGTAATAGAAGTAGTAGTGGTAGTAGGAGTAGCAGTAAAAGCAGTAATTGTGGTATTAGCAGTGGCAGTAGCAGCAGTAATAGCAGCAGTAGCAGCAGTTGGGGTAGTAGGAATAGTAGTAAAAGCTGTAATTGTGGTACAGCATCAGTAGTTGTAGTAGCAGTAGTAGTAGTAGTAGTAGTCGTAGTAGAAATAGTAGTAGTAGAAAATGCAGTAATGACATTAGAAGAACGAGTAAAATTAGAATTTGTGATAGCAGTAGTAGCAGTAGCAGTAATAGTAGTAGTAGAAGTAGCCTTCGGACTAGTTGTAGTTGTAACTAGTGGTAGAAGTCTAGAACTAGTAGTTGTAACTAGAAGCAGTAATAACAGCAGCAGTGGCAGAATTGGTAGCAGCAGTAGCAGAAGAAGTAGCAGCAACAAATTTCAGAGTATTATTCAAAAATTGTTCCGAAGACTTGCATTAGCACAAGCAGTACTAGTTGCGTAAGAGCACACATTGAATCAAATAAAAAATGAAAAACCAGTTGGATTTGTGGGTGGAAATTATACGTATTAATATATTTCTGTGGAAATTATACGTATTAATATATTTCTGTGGAAATCCCTGGGGCCTGCCTAATCACACGCTCTCCACGCTTTTCCAGATGCCGTTACGAAACTCAAACTAAACTCTCTCCCCGATACTTTCCAAAATACTGCCACAAGCGCCACATTTTGCAAGGATACAACAGGGTCTGCAGAGGAGGCATTGTAATCTAGCCGGGGGACTTCCGTTGTATAATTTGACACAGGCGGGAACGGGGGGAGGGTTGGGGTTCTGGGCTGACTGAGCGATTTGGAAAGTGAGACAGTAAAGTAGACTAATCCTTCCATAAAGTAACACCTCTGGCTGTTCAGATTAATAGCATTTTTTGTATGGTCATCATTTTGTACAGTACATGAATGGGATTTGCTTTAGTTTACGAGTAATGGTTAAGCTTATATATTCATCATTCCAACTTTCTGTTTATATCCTTCACTTTATACGCTCTATCATTACAAAGAGGCTCAAAACGTAATTTGGTTGTTTTTGCGACAATGACAATAAATGTTTGAATCTTGAATTTACCCACGTCTAGTCCTGTCTTAATATATGATACTATGTTCTCCATATGTCCAAAAACAGACAACTTTTCTTCCATGACTTAAATAAACTCAACATTTAAGAAAAAAGGATTATGAAGGACAGCAAGCTTTCAATCAAGCAGCAACCCTCCTCCTCCCCATCACTGCCTTGTCGGCTAGACCAGATACCTCGGGGGATTTCATTTTATAATTTCCATTTCCCCTTCTGCAATCATCATTCGGTTCTCTGCTAGGATTTAAGTGCCAAATCTTAACCACGTTTCTTGTACAGTAGCAATAAATATAATCTCAGAAAATTGTCTTTAGAGTTGTATGTGCTAAAGCATGTGAGAGACTATTATAAAATTCTATTGAAACCTGTTTTGTCTGTGCGAGTCTATCCAGATTTAAATAATAGAATTGTCATGTATTGTTAGCAGCTGCTGAATGGATAAACCAAAACAACATTGGTGAAACGGCAACAGCAGTATTGTTTAGCGTCATCTGGACAACCACATTTTAATGAGAGTATTCTGTTAGTATATATATATTTTCTTTAACAGAAAAGGTTAAGTTTGCTGTGTCCTGTTCGGTATGCGCTGTACCTTCTCTCTTCATGCCCATGGCCAGACACTTTTGGTAGCGGCAGTACTGGCAGCGGTTCCTCTGGCGCTTGTCGATGACGCAGTTCTTGTTGTCTCGACAGGTGTAGGTCAGGTCTTTCCTCACCGTGCGTTTGAAGAAGCCTTTGCAGCCCTCGCAGCTGTACACGCCGTAGTGTTTACCTGCAGCAAGGAAACAAGCACGCACTGGTTATGGACTGGCTCTCGTTCTGAGCTGAACCAAGTTTTCAACAGTGTTACCATAGCAACACTGTACTTGATGTGTTTCAAATTATTTTAGCCAGTTTACGCACTTGTTAAAAGTGAAAAAATGTTACTCAAAAACTACTGAAACGGATGGAAAACTTCACTATACGCATTTCACAAACCCAGGTCATACAAAGCGTCCTTGGGCCAGACACTTAACCCCACTTTGCCTAAAGCCCCCACTGAAAGATCTCAGCTCCTGTGGACTCACCACCTGCAGGAGGATCAGTGAGGGGCTGGTGCTATGTGTACTGGGTGCAGCTCTGACTGCCACCCCCTCGACCCAGAAATGGATTAAGGGGAAGAAAATGGATGGATGCATGGAGGTCACACAAAGCAATGCTTTTACAACACAGTGTTCTGATAGTTTCCATTCTCTCCACACGGTGATGTCAGAAGCGAGACGCCAAACACTCTGGGACCATCGTTACATTTAGAGCTATTAAACATGTTGTGAATGTAGCCTTTGTAAGAGGTCGGGGAAACTGCAGGAAACATTTACAGACACAGGGAGAACATGCAAACTCCACCACCACCATCATGCCACCCTATGCAAATTATTGTTACTTGAAATCTGACATAATCTAATATTTTTAATTTAATGTAATGCCTCTTTAAGGTGTATGTCAGGCAAACAACAAACACACACACACACATACATACACAGACACACAAACACACTTAACGGCGTAAACAGCTATAGTTTTTTAAGTGTGTAGATAAGAGTAAAGTATTGTTTCACTTTGAATGACAAGATGTGGTGACAGCAGCAGATGAAGCAGATGGTTGATTGTTGATATGATTGTTCTATCTTTTGTTCTTTGCATCTGTATTTAGACTTGTCATTCTAATCCTGTGGGGAAATCATGTCTTTACCATGTTTGAGTGAAAGTGACAGCATTTATCAGTTATTCAAAACACACATACAGGGCATATATGTAAGGGCATAACTGTACCTGTTTTTATGCCAGAGTTAGCCAACCTATAGCTTGGAAGCTCCAAATTGCTCGCCACCCTCTTCCAGATAGCTGCCCAAAGGATTTAGAAATTGAAAATAACCTATTCAATGTTTCCCATGCCTACAACTACAGCACATATTGAACTTGGGAATGTTTTCAGTTAGATACCCATAAAACTGTCTTCGGGATATCACCATAACACAGAAATTGCGGTGTGACGGAGATAAGAAGTTTTGCAGGTCTTTACTTCTTGCTACTGTCAGACTGTACAATGAACACTGCCGAGCTGACCTCACATATTATGCATCTGTGCAAAAATGATGTGCAATATCGTCTCCCTCTGTGGGATGAAAACATTATCTCTTAATTGCATTCACTCAATGTCTTAAAGGAGTAGCGCTGCCATTTTTGGTCCTGAAAAAGTTGGAGACCCCTGAACCAGCGCTGTTCTTGCACAGAGAATTGATACATCGTGGAACCCATATTGCTCACTGAGGTTTCAAAATGTTTCACAGATTTTAACAGGACAGAACCCATGATGTCTTGAAGTACCTTTGGAGTAATCTTTCTCCTGTCACTGCATCCAATGTATATAACACCTTCAGCAACCACCATGTGAACGCTGTTTGGGGTGAACGGGTTAATCTTATGTCCCGGGGCCCCTCTAGCACCTCTGCAATGGGGGGCCCCTTGCTCTCCGCTTCACGTTGTGTTCTGCGTATCGTTGCAAACAGCTCCTCTTTGTTAATTATGATGGATGTAGTTTAGCGTTAGCTTGTGTGCGTATCTTTGCTCGGACCACCGTGTCAGGCTCAGAGCACGGCTATAAATGAAGCATGACTCACTATTAAGCATTGTTTGCAGTGTGGCCCCCGGGTTTGTGATGATGCAGGACGGAGCTAAAACTGTCCGGTAAATTAGACATCAAGCCTCAAAGCCCTGGAGCCCAAGCTTTGTATGGTTTGTAAGGTTTACTTATTTGGTAGATTATTTGGCGTCAAAAATGCAAGGCTGTAGAGCAGACATTTGTGACCAGTAACGGGCTAGGTGTGCATTTGTGGTTAAAACATAAATCAGGACTATTTTGTCCGGAACCCCGAGTGCCGAGCCTTCAGAACGTGGTTGAACTCACACCTAAAAAAACTTCAGAAAACGTAGAATAACTTAAAAATCACTGCTCAAAACCCACCTGTTCACATAACAGTCTATTTTTGCATTTTTTTCACCTGTCCTTTTGTGAAGCATCTTTAAGTGTCAAAAGGCTCTAACCTGTGTTTTATTGTAAAAAAAACCCCCAAAAAAAACATGATTGTAGAAAGAGTACGAGTAAGTAGGAATACCTTTAGGGAACTGTTGAAGTATGGGTTTGAATGCATAATTTGACTCAAACTTCAATGCCACAATGGCCTCTGTTCCGAGATGTTGATGCATGGCTTTGTAAGAACTGCCTTTGCCCTAGTATTTTACCAATGGTGCATAATCTCTGAGTGTGGTGGGAAACCGTAGCACCTAAAGGAATTCCATCCAGAAACAGGAGAAACATAAAAACTCCACAGATAAAGGCCCTGGACATTTTTTTTCTCTAAATAGAATAGCGCAGAATAGAACGTTCTCAATAGAGTGCTTGGGGAGTGTTACAGTCATGTCCCACCAGAAAGAGACCCGAGGGAAGACCCACAGCACAATGACTTGGAAATGGAATCCAGAATTCTTCTGGATGTGAGTGGAGAAAGAAATATGGGCAAGTACTGCTGCTCGGCAACCCGGGGTCGGATTAGGTGGAAGAAAATGGATGGATGGTGTGAAGTGCCTTGTCCTGCTCCATATGAAACACAATGGGGTAGGATTTATTTTCATTGATCAACTACATAATTGAATTTTTTTTTCAACATTGGAACATTGGTCACCATAACTAAACAATTGCAACAGTTAGACATTTTTTGACTAATTTGTTCAAGAAGAAGCCTTTTGAAATTGAACTTTTATGCTCTCTCTATGTCATCTTTCCTGTTGTGACTTGCATTGGCTCTCCCATGCCTCTGCTACAGTATATTAGGTTACACAGGAGCGCAGGTGACCACCCACAGAATGGCAACATGGCAATGGGGCGCTCCGCCGTCGACATACCCAGAGATGAGTGATGTTTTGTGGATGGTTTGCCTCAGACACAGCCTCTTTATCTCACCTCCAGTAAAGCGTATTGCATTTACTGTTAGGACTGGCCTGGTCTGAAGCTTTGATGTATTATGCCAAAGCCACATCAAAACATGGAATGAAGGAATTATGGTACAGCCTTCTTTCGTGTAATGTGGTTGCTCCACATCCCAACGTTGTGTTATGTTTAGAGGAGGGCACGGTACTCAAATAACTTTACTGACAATGTATTGAATTGTCTAATGAGTCAAAGAAACAGTAATAAACTTAATAGATGTGTAAAATCACCTGCATGACTTATATGAGTGCAAGTGAGTGCAGCCATAAATCAAAGCAGCAGTCGTCTCGGGAGGACTGTACGAAGTTGATTTGCCAACAACACATCATAGAATGTGCATACACAGAAATACAATAAAAGAAAAACCACATAGGAGCCATTGGTCCACAGGGAGCAGGAGAGACCAGTCAATGTAAATAAATGTCCAAAATATTCACTTATGTTGTCTTGTGTGCTCCTTGTTCCTACTGTGTTTTAAATTGTGATGCAACACTGACATTGCCCCACTGTGGGAGAAATAATGGATCTCTTTTTTATTTATTTATTTAAACAAAACAACATGGACATACATACATAGGGGGGGGGGTGTTGTTTATTATTTACTTTTTTTTGTGTGTGCATTGATTGATTATACAAGCATATTGATGGGTTTATATTTAAAAAAAAAATAAACAATACATTTGGTTTGTCCCAACAGAAAGAGCCCCAAAAGCAGTTTTAGTAGTAAGTAAGTAAGTAAGTAATCTTTATTTATATATATGGAGCTATTATTGTTTCAATAATATTTGTGTGTCCGTAAACAGATTTGTGCGTGCGTAACCAGATTTGTGTGTACGTAAAAAGATTTGTGTGTACGTAAAAGAAATATTTGTGCGTGGTAAATAGATTTGTATGTACTATCAAGATTTGTGTGTGTGTAAAAAGATGTGTGTGTGCGTAATTTGACATTTGTATCTGTAACAGAACAATCTGTGTGTAAATAACCACGTTGTACGAAGAGAAGAACGGAAAAAAGCCTAAGTGCTACGCACAGGCTCTGTTTTACACACAAATCTCTTTTTGACACACCTCTGCCGCCAAGCGTGTGTCAAAAAGATTCGTAAGTGTAATGTGGTTGTTCTAGCAGTACACCAGCAGATGGTGCTGTTGTAGCTGGTTATTACCTACAGGCAAGCAAACCAAAACCTACTGCCTTGACAAGACACACTACCGCAGCTGTTTATGATATTTTTTTCCTATATTCAAAATCCTGTCATTCACACCACTGTATGATACATGGATCTATTATAATAACTGGTTTGGGTGTTACTAGCCTGGAGCTGAGGGATTCTAGCGTACTGCAGACTAAATTCACGTGGGCTACACAGACATTTTCCCCATAGAACTCAAAGTAAACTAAAACAGCTGACAGAGAACCTACAGCTTTCATAAAGGTCGGATTTTGTGGGAATTTTAGTGTTCCTTGTCATCCTGAACTTTTCTTCTTCTTAAATCCTTCGGTTTTCTTTAAATCTACACGTTAGTTAGTGCCACAAACTCTGCTGGTTTGCTTGCGTGTAGGTAATAACCAGCTACAACAGCACCATCTGCTGGTGTACTGCTAGAACAACCACATTACACTTACGAATCTTTTTGACACACGCTTGGCGGCAGAGGTGTGTCAAAAAGAGATTTGTGTGTAAAACAGAGCCTGTGCGTAGCACTTAGGCTTTTGTCCGTTCTTCTCTTCGTACAACGTGGTTATT